AGTGTATCCAAACTTGGAGGTTGGCATACCGTTGTCAAAACTTTCGTCATTGAAGACTACCCCGCCCACAATATCAAATGTTTTTGCATTTTGCTCGACCAAGTCTTCCAACGCCTTACTGTTTTCTAATCGATACACTGAGGTAAATAAAAGTGATTAAAGATAAATGATTAAAAGTAAGACTAAGTTGAAGCATTTTTGTTTGTTTGTTTTGAGGCTGAGCGCCTTTATTTTACTTAGTGACATTTCGTTGAAAACTGGGCATTACTCATCGAACTCGACAATTCTCTCTCCGCATTGTAAGATAAAGTAATCTTAAATATGTTTTACACGGTTATTTGCCTCTTTAAAAAGTTCTTTAGTACAACTGGTAATAACCCCTCTCCTCCATCTCAAACATATTTGGTGATCAAGTATGTCTAACATAGTTAATGCACTATTTAACTATTTTTTTCTTTCAATATTACGTACCCATAAACGACTGACCAAGTGTTGATTGGCCCAGATAGTACTTGAACCACCCAAGAAACTCTTGCGGGGTGTGGTTCCCGCGGCTCGTTGCGGGCGCAACTCCAAGCCCCAAGCAAAATGCCCCGGGTACCCCCGGATATTGGAAATCTTTTTGTGGACTGAAGGTTTCATCGGGGACGGTGGTCACTTCCGATCCTATGTCTATGGTAAATTCGTAAGCAATAGGAATGGCGATTGCTGCACAAAACAGCAAGAGAGTGATGCACGTGTTAAGCTTATGGCGCCGTGTGTATTGGAATCGTAACCACAGCAACTGCCACGTGGCACGCAGGAATGCCATGGTGATGAAACGGTGGGTAACCTGAATAACCAATTCATTATAAACTGAATGTGTTTTTTCGCTGCTCTATTTAATTTGACAATGGGTATTGTAAATGATTGTATCTCTCTTTGCACGACTAGCCTCTCTCCCTCTCTCTCTCTCTCTCTCTTTGACACATGCGCACACATGTACACACACATGCACACACACACACAGACACGCACTGTAAAATAAATGCACATCGTTCTGATTAATTCACCAGTAAATTTAAGGCCATTGTCAGCATCCCCCGAATTATCCACCTCAGGCATCATTACTACTGTGAAAGTTATTCGTCTAATATATACACAATACTAATTAATTTATGGAAGATACATTCTGAAGTCATAAGTGTAAAATAATATGCGGTAGTCGTGTTCGATAACCAAATCATCGCATGGACTTTGTTCAACTACATGATCTAAACTGAACTTTATGTGCTAATCGTGTTTAATCAATGGTCAGATTAGATTTTGTTAGTACTGTCGACTATCTGATAACCGTATTGTTTCGCCTCATAGGCGCGAGCGCCGCGTGTGTCCGTTTAACGTGCTTTCAACAATGTTGGTTAGATTAATGTGATATCTTTATCAATATGGTGCTACGCTTAGTACGTTACTGATAGTGTTTTGATAGGGTGACTGTTTGGTCGAGGTAAACATTGTTGCTAAATGATCGCTTAAATATATTTTGATTGCGTTTAAGTAGTATTTCTCTTTAACTTCTTTTGTCGAACTCCTATTCAGTCGATACAAGACCTTTATCCAGACGCGTTTCAGACCATTTTATGATTTCGTTCAACCCGATCGGACATTCAAAGTTTGATTGAAAAATTTTGGATTATTGTTAAAAATATCAAGTGCCCAAACCGCCTTTTTACTTTCCCTTTCCATATTGTTTTTCAAATGGTGCTGCCTATGCGAAGCAATAACCGGAACGTTATAAACCGTATCTGGAATTGCACTATTAGGGAGGAGCTTAAATCTTGGAGTTATAAAGACTTCTTTACTGACATACAATCTTGAGTTGCCTTTATTGGCAAACAATGCAAGAACTTCGTTTCGGAAAATATACATTACCTACAAATTCAAAGGGCGCCCTGCAAATGGTGCCTCCTCTAGTACTGCCTACTATTCAATGACAGCTAGAACTGTTGCCATCCCTCTCTTCCCTGTTTCCGCGCCAGAGTATTACCACAGATAACCGTGGCTGGCACATGACACAGCAACGTCCAGGCTGGACATCCTGTACCATGTGACTTATTATCGTCATTATCACGGAAATATATGACCCTGGGTTTGAGGGTGCTTACGCGGAAATTTTCTGTTGAAACTGCATTCAAATATATATTTGATCCATGGTCGCATTTGCTTCAAATTCGGGGTGCATGGTCGGTCACAAAAAATTTCTCAACAAAATGGGTTTGCTACTTTTTTCTTGAAAGATAATTGTTCGTGAATCGACTCTAGAAAACGAATGACTGAAAACGCCTTGGAGGGGGTACAGGTGTATCAAAACATTGGGATTATCATGCCAGTGATTGGTTATAGTGAAAATAATTTATATCTGAAAATACGGTCTTAAGATAGTAACAAGTACATGAGTTTAACTTAATAAATTACACAATACTGCCATCAGCAATGGGTTATAAACATTGACAAGCGCAAACCTTTCTTTTCTTTTAACAAATTTATGAAAATTTATTTTTCTTTTTTTAATTGTTGCTTAAATATACCCATCACGGAAGAATTGTGTTACGTGAAACATATATGTAGGTACAGTAGTTTCTTCGCTGACAGCTAAAATACCTTTTTGCAACAAAAATTAAAGACCATATTTCATTTAACTTTGATAACGGAATATCAATATATATGGTGCAGTTTATTTAGTAAGAATCAAAAATTCTAAATCCTTGAAAATCTAAACTTAAATTGCATTAAATTTTATTGGGTACAGGGGTCTGTAAACTTTCACGAAAATGTACTCTATGGCAGTTACCATTCCATCACAGATTTCTGTGTGTGTGTTGGAGGGGGGGGGGGGCGCTGACAGTGCAATTTGCTGATATTTTAACATAGAACGTATTTTATCCGAGTAATGCCAGGTACCAGAAAGCCCCTTTTAATGCAGGGTTAGATTTCTATTGTTTTGTACAAGTACATGTAAGCCTCCTCGTAGAATTTGAACCCCTTACGTCACGCTTAACCTGGCCTATATGTACATGTATATGGATGTAGTCATGAGACGGTATAACACTTGAACTTGTGTCACAATAAATCGCCAAAAATGGATACAAGCAGTTCTTTACATTAGCAATATGCCAGATTGTTTGACAATTAGTAATATTGCTCATTTGGTGAACTGTACACGATTGCATTTTCCTAACGCTTTTGCGTTCCCTTCTAGGGTCACAGTTTGATTTTTGCTAGGTAATCACAGATAAGTTTTTGGCTCATTCTTCACAATTTTTTACTGTCCAGTCAGACGTGTTGCATAGAATCAATGCCTCACTCAACTAACCTCTGATAAAGCGTAACGCTAGTGTCATTGTAAAATAAAACACCAATAAGATACGAACAAGGAAATTCACCATAATGCCTTTTCTTAAGTATGACAACTTATCAAAACAGGCAAAGTGTCAAATACGGTCCTGTACAAAAGAACCTTGCTCACTGTTCTGGGCTGAAACAAACCCTGACAAGTTTAAAAATGCTGCTTCCAAAGAACTTTGGTGGACGCTGTAATCTGCAATGCCAAAACGCGTCTTCGCTTCCTCTAACGTCCAAAACAAATTACTCCAGCGCATGGAATCGTCTACAACTTTAAGGTCGATAACAAATCGATTCATTTTAGTAATACGCAATCCTTTGATGCGAGAATTAAGGTACGCAGCCAGTGCTTCAATGTCGATCTCTTCCATCTCTTCCTTCAGGCGTATTTCAATGTTGACATATTCTCCGAACTCGTCTTTTAGTGACTGGGGACTTCCCATGGCGACAAAACGATGGTCCACCATGATGGTTACTCGGGTGCACTGCATTTCACATTCCTCGGTGCTACAAAAACAAACTTAAATTGAACTAACCTTTTTACTGGGTAATTATTACACGCAGAGTAACGACTCAAGGACAATACATTGATACTGTTAAACAACAACATAAATTGCTAAACATTTTGTACCTTAAAAATCAACTTTTATCACATTAAAACAATCAGCTTTATATCTTTTACATCTGTAGAATAGCATTCTGCACAGCATGATATGATTTCCTAAATAAATAGCTATTAACCCTCTATTTTGAAAGAATTTTATATATTATGACTTGAATTTATACAAGGAAACCTTAAAACGAACGCACATATGACTGGTCAAAATCAATGAAGATCCCTGATGTCGAACTTCTTGAAGGACTGCCCATATTTTTCTCCTGCACAATGGGTCAACACTTGTTGTTGGCTCATCCAGAAATATTATGGAGGGTTTTCCAATCAGAGCGATCGCTGTGCTTAATTTTCGCTTTGTTCCAGCACTGTTAAACAGACAAAACCATCTCAGATATAACTGAAGTCATGCTTAATGGCTGTAAGTGGTAAAGAGGGCAAATAATTAACTAAAAATTATAAATAAATACAGTTTAAAATCCCCCGTTGGACATTTTTCTTTTCAGTCCAATATCAAATTTACCTTATCCATTCAATTCAAACGCGTTATTGAGATCCATTTTGCATACACTCCCAGCTATTGGGATAGTAAACCTCCTTTTTGATCTTCAATCTTAATATTTTTACAGCCAATCGATCTTAATATTTTAAATTGGCATTATGTTTGTTCATGTCGAGCCCTTTTATATATCAGTAGAAACATATTAGCTCCCTGTGAACTTAATGATAACAGTCGACCGTAGAAACACGAAGGGACGCACCCGAGATACTGATCATGACTCATCCAGAAAACTAATTCTGCAGTTTTGAATCCAGTAACTGGGGGAGCAGAATTGCGAATGTGCAAAGTGCAAAGTGGAAATATGGCTAAGGGAGTGATTTTTAAAGTAAAGAAATGAATATATTCCCAACAACTAAAATAACTCGCCTGCAGCTGTTGATGACGTCATCAGCCTGACTGATAAGAAGGCACCATTCTATGACGTCATCAATCACATGCTCCAGCTCGCTCTCTGTGACTCCTCGTAACCGTCCAATAAGGGACAACATCTCTCGGCAAGTCAGATCACCCATCAGTGAGCACGACTGAGGGCTGTAACCCACATGAAGTCGACTCTGTATGTGAAGTAACATCATCGCATTAGCTAAAATATTGTTGACTTTTCAGCTGTCGATAAAGCCCATATTTAGGTGTTTGATTAGGCTACTAATTATTTATATCAGTCTTCTTACAAAAAAAACTGAATTTTTAAATGAAAAAAAAGAAAGAAAAAGAAAAAAATAGAAAAAATATTAAACAAACTAACATTTATACCTCAAAATATGTTACTGCAAATCAACTGAATATAAGTGTTTAATGATGAAAAAGATAAATAAGCTGTCGTTTTCGTGAAAGTGAGTTGATGTTCTCACCCGTTCACTACTATGGTTTATTGAGACACCTTCTATTACAGAGGTGCCATCCGGCGCCAGCATATCCCCCGTTAACATGCGGAACAGCGTTTCTTTGTCACGGTCGTCAAGCCCAATCATTCCAAGTGCCTCACCTAGGATGAGAATGGACATTTCAGTGAAATCTAAATACAATACTGAATTGACTTGACCGGCCACGCGATATGGAAGATTTCTAGTAAATTAAAGTTAAAAAATCACCAATGATTCAGATATGTATAAAGTCGAGTGAAAATGGGGATGATAATAAATATTGGGCAATTTTGTTTTGACAAAAAAGCACAGACGGGTATAAACCACTTTCATATATGTCCCCTTGTTTGTGTAAGTAAATAATTTGTTTGGAAATTTATTCATACAATATTTTTAAATATTGTATGAATTAATTAAAATTACATTTCAACACACCTCTACGTACGGACAATCGGCTTGGTCCGCTCCTTTGTCCTTGACCAGAACTTCTGATGCTGCTTTTTCGAGAGTGCCCTGAAAACTGCATCACGTTCTCCGAAACCGATCTTCTAAACCCTCTTTTTTGACGCATCTTGTACCACGTGGACATCACGTGTGTCTCCAAGATGATAAGAATGGCTAAGAAGACAAAGCCTTGGACGAAAAGGATCAATAGATGTCGCCCTAAGCCAAGATTTCCGAATTCAAGAATGTTGTTGACATATGGAGTGCAGTAGTATATTGTTCTGTTTTCTCGATGAAGAGAAGTCTGATTTTGGTTCCATCCCATGCAGAGCTCTGCCACAAGAAACAAAGAACGCCAAAAATAATCAATTAAATTTAATATGGAAGCAAGGAATGACGGCAGGAGAAACCATAAGGAGAGAATGGGATAAAATATTTAACTCAGTATGGTTTAATACTTTAATGTCTCTGCTTCATCAATAAATGTTTCTGTTGATACAACTGTTATTAATTACAAGACAAGGTAAGATAATCTTTAAAAATTAACGTCAAATTAAACAACCCCTACACGTTTTCATGGTGTACCTTTATATATATTCATGAATTGTATGCCATTATTCATTTCCGGGCTTTAAATCTAATTAATATTTTGCAAAAAAAAGCACTACACATTACCGGCATCGCACTGAATGTGGCTTCTATTGGTTTCTAGGCGGGAACAGATCCGTTTGTTTTCGTCATTCACGTAAAAAATCATCAACCCGGCAGCCAAATTATAGGGGGGCGAAAGAATAGTGAATATCCAGTTCAATGCGGCTTGCCATGCCCGAACGGTGTTCATCTCAGTCGCCTCCAGCAGTTGGTAGGGTAGGATTAATTTGATGAATTCTACCACTGCGAACATTACACTTCCTAGTTATCGATTAAGAAGCATATTTCAAGTAAAACGATATAAAACAGGTTACATACTTAATAACATACAGCGCATCTCTATTGCCCATAATAGTTGAACAAAGACATAAGTTCACATCATTCATAACTGTACAAGTTCAAAGGTCGCTTAATTGGCATAAAAAATAAAATGTCGATTCTTTTTAACAAGCATTCCACTTGAACTATATTATTTTACTGTTGGCAGCAAATTAAGTTTTTAAAGACACGGTAGTCCTAAAGTCAAACACAACCACAGATACATACCTATAACTGAATAAGCCACTGCAATAGTCGTCACAGCTTTTACTCCAGTTTCGAACTTGAAAGAGAGTAGGTATGTCAACGGCAACGATGCCCATTCGAAGAGAATCAGAAGCAGTATCAGGGTTTCTTGTTGTCTGTTGGGTATGTAAAAAGGCCATGATTGAAAAGCTAAAACTAAACCCATGATTAAAACGATTGGCACCATGAACACGATAGTGTCCCAACAACATCGTACCAACCAGTAGGTCAAACCCGTAGCGCCAGAAACGAACAGAAGCCTTTTTGTTTCGAGATTGCGTTCCTGAACCGGGTTCACGGCAAAGGACGCTAACAATGCCGACATAACAAACAGGGAAATGCAGGTGTACGCCATGGATACGACAGGCGAAGACAACTTCCACGACTCATTTGTTGGGTTCTTTTCGTCGACCAGAACATCGTTGTCACAAGGATCTCGATCAGTGGGAGGCAAAGGAAAGTTGTTGGCTGCGATTTCGTGTTCCTCTCCCGCCAGGTGTTTCAGTATGGCATTGTTCACCAGGTTGAGAGCCAATGGCATGCTGTGATAGGCATAATTGCTGTACAAACCTGTCGCCCTTGTACCAGAGCCACCTGTGTATGATTGGAACGCTACGCCAATGATGTATTGGTTGGCAAAGTGGAGAGCGCCTGTGTTGAGTTGAGCGCCTATCAAGTATCGGTCCACTGCAGCGTAATCTGTGATGTTGATCTTATGCACAATACAGCCAGAAGAATCAAGCATCAGCTTTTCATATATCAGCGACAAATTCTGGGCCAATTCGGAACGGTCTGCAGCCACAGTGGTAATGCACGGGTAATCCATTTGTTCGATCATGCTGTTCATCGTGATAGAAAGATTAACCGAATTTTGGGATAAAAAACGGGACAATGCTGACTGCGAAAACCCTTCTGGGTTAAAGGATGCGAACAGAGCCGTCGTCACGAGTAAGATTAACTGTGAAAAGGTCAACCAGCGTCTGCGCCATGAGATTAACGCGTGCACAGACAACATGCTTAAGAATTCGCGCAACTGATGGAACAAACCGGTTGGAACCAACCTGAAACGTCGTATGTTCGGTTTTCTACCTGTAAAGTAAATGGCATGGCGTTAAGGAGATAAATTTCAATTTTAATTATATAAAGCTTTACATGACTTCTGAGATTTCAGGTTCATTTGATAGCTAGCTTCTTTGTTTTTCAAAAAGTCACCCTGAGAGTAAGATTGGACATTTCGAATAATAAATGGCCCCTGGTATTTCGTTTGCAACTTACGTAAAATGATTTCGCTATCAGTGTTTTCTGACACGGCACTAAATTCCGAAGTAGTTTCTGAATTGACTGATTTGTTGGCGCTACAAAACAAAAGCAAACAGATCCAACATGAATCAATATTAAGTCCTATAACAACAAATACTAAAATAAAATGAAACATGATGTGACAAAACAAAACAAAATAATGAAAATTAGATAAATAAATAAAGAATAATAAAGAAATAAATAAAAAAAACCAACTTTGTATAGGAATATGATAGGGTGAACTTTGATGTGCATTCTTAGATTTGGTAAAATTCCATCAACTTCAAAAAACGCGTTTATCAGTATCATACAGAACCAGTTCATAATAGCCTCCCGACTTACTTAAGATATATACCCTCCATTGTGGCAGCAGACACTCCAAAGGAGGAGACACCGAGCTCATCTATTCTGTCCTCTAGTTTTTTGAAAACCAATGGAAACTTTGAAGTTTCAGATTTAGGTAGCGCAAATTGTATTTCAGTTTCAGAATCCACGGTCACGTGTGCATTTGGCATTAGCCCGAGAATGAGATCCCTCGTCATTTCTGTTCGATACATGGGCGTTTTTGCAGCACGTAAGACGTACTTCCCACCTGAAATGAGTTGACAGCTGTAGAGGCCCACGTGAAATCATTTCTGTCACGGATCGTTGCTCGACCCTGCATGGACTTTGCTCTGGGCTTTTAGCGGATTTCAAGCTTTAAACACCACTAGTCCAGTTGGACAGGCACAACTGGGCAAACTCATGCGGAAACTCACACGAAAGACATACAGAACCCGACGTGAACCTATAGTCAAAAATGAACTTCACAACTGGGCAACTGACATGGACATCACTCAAGTGGTCCAACGTGCACTTTAGGTAACATGAAGAAACAGTGTCGGTGAAGTTCCAACGTTAAAAGAACAGACAAATGTACAGACAAAAAACAGGAAATAACTATGCACAAAATAGGCTACTGTCAATTCTGATGCAAAAGTACATTATGTTAAACTGCAAATTCAACATCAAATTTTTGCTCAACAGGTTATACCAATGTAAGTAAAATGTGTAACAAGTTCACACTTTGAAAATGTATAACTTCCAGAAAAAGAAGCCAATTAGACTGCTTTTCCAACTCAGGCTGCATTTTAGTCCTGTATTTCTTTTTTGAAAGTTTGGCAATCATAAGTAACATGGTTTTCCCATAATGGTCATCATGGCAGCAGCACCCAAAATTGCGTTTTCTTCTATTCTGATGCCATATTACATAATGGTTAACAGCATAATGACCGTCAATTTTTAATAATAAAATATACCTATCATGGATTTTCAGAAAATGTGACTAGCATGGGTCTTCAAGCCCGTGGAACTTCAAAGTCACACCTTGAAAATGCCAATATGTGAAAAATTAAATTTTCACAAAAAAACGTTTAACTGGCAGTAAGAATTACCAAACAGACTGCATTGCCTACTGAAGCTGTATTTTAGTCCCATGTTTCTTTCCTGTAAGTTTGAAAACAGTAAGTGACATGGTTTTTCTTAAATGGTCATCATGGGAGCAGTGCCCAAAATAGTTTTTTTTTTCAAATTTTGATGCAATATTACATAATGTTTAACAGCATAATGACCATCAATTTTAAATAATAAAATATTAGTATTATGGATATTCAGAAAATGTGACTAGCAAAGGTCTTCAGGCCCATGGAACTTCAAAGTCACAACTTGAAAATGCCAAAATGTAAACAAGACAGCACTGTTCTGAAATGTTTTTTTCCCCATTTTTAACAATTTTTAACATAAAACAAAATTAACAGTTTACTGCCATTTTTATATGATCAACTAAGAAAATTGATGAGATGGGAAAAATATCAATAGAGCAGTGTTAAATGTCCAATTTCTTCCATTCTGAGATTCTGAACATAGTGAATGATTGAATCTGACAAACTGCAATGATATGAGTTTATTTCCATTTTTGAAACTTTATTACACAATACACGATAACAAGTTTACCATCATTTTTACAAAATCAACTAATAATGTTGTAAAGATGCAGGAAATGTCAAACAAACACTTTTACGTATCTTATTAGTTTAATAATGAGACTGTTAACATGCCTAAGAATTGAATCTGAGGAAATGTGAAAAATATGCTGAAAAGTGAAAAAACAGCATAACTTCTACAATAATGGCCCGATCATGCTGATTTTCGAACTTGACCTGCGTTTTATGAATATTCATCAGCTCTGTAAATATAAAGCCAAAAAGTAAAACTGCCCTCCACTTATCGTGTTTACAAGGAAAGTGCACGGCGCCGGCGACGGCATCGGCATCGGCGACGGCGACGACAGACGCAGGCGATGGCAATATGTACAGACACATCTGTGTCTGTACATAAAAACTGTCCTTCCCTCACCATAGTTAGATTCCAACTCCGCCATGGTGCCACACGCCACCAGAGATCCGTTCTGCAGAATCCCAATGCGGTCAGCCAGGGCCTCCGCCTCCTGCATACTCTGTGTACTGAGAACTACCAAAGAACCTTCTTGCTTAGACTGTCCTATAGCTTCCCATGCACGGTGCCGCATGCACGGGTCCATATTTTTGGTCGGTTCTTCCAACGCTATTATCTAGAACGACATATATTCAACTGATCGTATGTCACAGTCAATTCACAGGTAAATGAGAACTGACCTGACGAGACAGTTAAACAAACATCAAATGCACTTGCTTCGGTCAGAATGCGCAAATAACGAGATTCCCATCTAATGAAAGGCACTCAGAGAGCACAGACCAAAGACAAATGATTATCTAATATTAATCATTAATACATTACTGGATCATCACCAATTTCTAATCACTTTTAAGTTAGCCCATTTCCGACTGCAACCAAAACCATCCCAAACTTATTAAGTTAGGCTAAAGATGAACAAACAGACACACGAGGGTGAAAACATAACCTGTCGGAGGTAATTAACTGTTTTAGTTTGCTCAAATGTGGAATTAGACAAATGACTTACCTTTGGATTTCCCATCAACGCCAGTGCCAGAGACAGCGCACTTCTCGTGGATGTGGGCAAAGACTTCACCATATTATCACGCTTGTCCTCTATCTCAAGCAAGGAGAGGAGATTTTTCAGTTGGACTTTTATCATCTTGCTGTTCACGTGTCGTAACTGTCGAAAGTAGACAAAAAGGACAAATAAAACTTGTTGTTTTTAATCCGGATTGGTTATGATTATGTTTAGGTTTCAAAGGAACATCAGTTAATGGCAGATGCTCAATTTTCTTCTACTTCCTTCTCTTTTTATTTTTATTTATTTATTTATTTTTTTGTCAATATATTTCGCAAAAATCAAGCAACAATACATTCTATGAAACATACAGCATTGTCCACTGACGATATAGCTAGTTTCTATGTGCTTTGATTTTTTTCACTTCGATGACATGAATAATATGTAAGAAAGGAATGATGGAGAGGAAATGCTTGCCTTGGCAATAAACACCAGATGTTGTTCTACGGTGAGGTAATCAAACAACGCCGATTTCTGTCTACACAGACTTATGTCATCACGTATGGATGTGATATTTTTCGGTGCTGAACCAGGGCACAACGTAACGTGGCCAGTGGTGGGTTTCAACAAACCTATTTTAGAAAAAATAGATGTTTTAGCTAAGAAAAGTGTGCTGGTATTAAGAACATGTCTTAAGTACTTTTGTAAATATTATGAACAGCATAATTGCATTTGAAAATTCATACCATGGAAGAGGCCCAGCTACAAAGAAGCACACTTAAAATTGGGCAGTTGAATGTGTGTGGTTGGACTATAAGGAACGAGGAATTGAGAAAATGTTTAATTAAGGCTACGGGCTGTGACATAGTATGCATATGTGAAACTCATCTTATTGGAGAAAAATCATTAGAGATGGACGGTTATAAGTGGCTAGGTTTAAATAGACAATCTCTACATGTAAGAGCCCCTAAGGGATCAGGGGGGGTTGGTGTTTTGATAAAAAATGATGTGTTAACGGAATACAATGTAACAGTATATGATAAATCTGTGGAAGGGATAATCGGTGTTAGATTTGAGCATATGATATCAGGGTACACCATGTTAGTGTTCTCATGTTATTTACCCCCGGAAAATAGTCCGTGGGGTAGAGATGCAGAATCTTTTTTCTCACACTTGCTAAGTCAAATTTACACCGCAGCTGATATGGATGCAGTAGTTGTTTGTGGTGATTTCAATTCCAGAATCGGTAATTTACAAGACTGCATTGAGGGAATAGATAACCTTCCAGAGAGAGCCTGTGTTGATGAAACCGTCAATCAGCACGGTGTGTCTATGATAGATTTCTTAATAGAATCAAAATTCTGTGTATTAAATGGTAGAGTTTCTAAAGAGAAAGACGACTTCACTTGTAGAACAGGACGGGGTTTGTCAGTAGTTGATTATATAATAGTAGCTCAAGATATGTTTAGTAAATGTCATAGTATGCACGTATCTCCATGTAGTGACTTAGTAGAATGTCATCATTTACACTCATTGCTAAACGGCAGATCAAAGGTACCTGATCACGCATTTTTATCATTTGTGCTAGACACACATGTTCAGTTAACAGAAGAATCAGAGTGCTCAATAGAGAATAACAGTGCTCCAAGTAAGGGTAGAAGGTTTAATTTCAATAAGATAAATGAGAATTTTATGGCATCTCATATGTGCAGAACAGCAATTTTAAACATAATTGAACGGATACAGTGTAATCGTGAAGAGCAAGAGGATATAGACAGTATATACAGGGATTTTACAGATGTTGTTTTAAATGAAATGAATAAAAATATACCCTACTTGGATGCATCAAAGAAAATGAGAAAAAAGTGTAAATCAAGAAAACGATTTTGGAACGAGGAGCTGCACGACTTTTGGCTAGAAATGAACAGACGTGAAAAAGCTGTCCGACGGGCCAAAAATAAAAAAGAGAGACAAGGGCTTTTTAAATTGTTTCGCGAGGCACAACATGTGTTCGACAGAAAGTTTAGATTCTTCGAAAGAAAAGACAGATTAGAGAGGTCTACCAACATTGAAGAGTTGCATGCTAGAGACCCTAAGCAATTTTGGCAACAAGTGAACAGGTTAGGTCCTCGTAAAAACAAAACCATCCCATTAGAAGTTTATGTTGATGGAAACGTTACCACTGATAAAAACACTGTAATAAATAAATGGAGGGATGATTTCCAAATGCTGTACAATAACTATGGGAATAATGAGCCTAGGAAAGACAAACACAAGGCTGACATACAAAATAGTAATATTCTGAAAGAGCAATACATGATAGATCCTCTGTACGAAAGTAATGGGATGTTGAATAGAAACATTGATATTAGTGAAATAGTTCGTGTAATAGCCAAAATGAAAAAAGGAAAAGCACCTGGAGTAGACATGCTGCCCAACGAAGTGTACAAATGTGATAATGCTATTAAAGTTATGCATAAATTATTTCAGTTATGCTTGGATTCAGGAAAGATTCCCTCAGTATGGCGGAAGGCAATTATTTGCCCTATTCCAAAGGACAGTAAATTGGATCAGAGGGTTCCTCTGAATTATAGAGGAATTAGTTTATTATGTTGCTCAGCAAAAATGTACACGAGTCTTTTAAACGATAGATTAACTGAGTTTTTTGACAACAGAAATGTTCTAGTAGATGAGCAGAACGGTTTTCGCAGGGATAGGTCTTGTCAAGATCATATATTTGCCTTGGATTCTATCATAAGAAATAGACTTAATGTTGCATTATCAACCTTTTGTGCTTTCATAGACTTTCATAAAGCATTTGATTGCATCGACAGAGATTATTTAATGTACAAATTATTGAGATCTGGTATAGATGGTAAAGTATACTGGGCTATTAGAAACATATATGCATTTACAGAAGCTTGTGTTAAGGTAGGAGACATGCAATCTAATTGGTTCAATACTGAATATGGTGTAAGACAAGGTGATAATCTATCACCAACCCTATTTGCCTTATATATTAATGATTTAGCGCAAGAGATAAAACGGATCTCGAAAGGTGTTGAAGTAGGAAAAAACGTTGTAGATATATTATTATATGCAGATGATGTGGTATTTATTGCTCCTACGGAGGAAAACTTGCAAACTATGCTTGATAAGCTAAGTGAGTGGTCTTATAAATGGAGTTTATTTGTTAACCAAAAGAAAACAAAAATCGTACATTTTAGAAAACCAGGTGTTGAAAGGAGTAACTTTCAGTTTAATTGCGGTGGAGTGCCACTTGATTATGAAAAGTCTTATAAATATCTTGGAGTTACCTTAGTAGAGACACTTAATTATAGTACAAATGCAGATGTGATGTCTCATGCTGCAGGTAGGGCACTGGGTTCCATAGTAGCTAAGTATAAACATCAAGGATATATGGGGTATTCCACGTACACAAAGCTTTTTGATTCTTGTGTTAGTCCCATTCTAGAATATGCAGCAGGTGTTTGGGGATATAATGAATATAAGCAGCTAGATAAAATTCAGTTTAGAGCCGCCAGGGTATTTCTTGGGGTGCACAGATTTACTCCTCTTCTGGCCATAGAAGGAGATATAGGTTGGATGAATACTAAATATAAAAGATGGTTGCACCTTATAAGATTGTGGAACAGACTTTTGAGCATGAGTGACGATAGGATTACAAAACAAATTTTCATTAGAGATTATGACTTGGCAAAAGAGGGTAACATTAATTGGTGTGCTCATGTCTCTCGAGTTTTAGCTGTTTGTGAAATGGAGCATTTGTTTAATGATTTAGTTTATTGTGATGTTGGCGTTATAAAGAACATATTATTTAAATTGCAGGAGAGAGCCTGGAAAGAAGCAGTATTAAAAAAACCAAAGTTAAGGGTCTACAGAAAACTTAAAGAAAATTTATCTGTGGAAAATTATGTTAAGTACAATTTAAAAGCTGCGGAAAGATCGATTACGGCCCAGTTTAGATCAGGGGTTCTTCCATTACATGTAGAAACGGGCCGCTTTGTTAACAGAAAATTAGATGACAGACTATGTTTTCTTTGTAACACACAAAAAGTAGAAGATGAGTATCATTTTTTTATTTGATTGTCCAATTTATAAAGATTTAAGAAAAAAATGGTTTGAAAAAGTAAAAGTGGGTGATCTTATCTTTCATGACCTGGAAGTGGTTAAGGAGAGACCTCAAGTGCTTTTTACAGATTTTCATAGAAGCACAGCGAGGTTTCTCTTTAACTGCTTTCAGGTCAGAAAGAAGCTTCTATATAACTAATGTTTGGTAACCGGTGACTCTGTAAGCCCATAGGGCTGGGCCGTTACTTATATATTCACATTATTGTATTATATTTGTATATATTCGGCATTGTCACAGAAATAAATCAATTTAACTACTACCACGAACTGAATGAATAATTACATAATCAACAAAACAAATTTCTAAAAACCAAGCAAAATAAATTTATACGAGGAATTATAATATATGGAAATAAATGAAAATAATCCATATATATTATATAATTAGATCAAACCTGTTATCATTTGCAGAAGTGTTGACTTTCCCGAAGCGTTTCCACCCAAAAGAACAAACATTTCTCCTTCGAACAAGTCCAGGGTCACATTGTTGACAACGCGCCGTTTGCCGTAAATCTTTCAAAGTAAATTGGCGAAACGAAAGGGTTAATATTATAAGCACAGGAGCAATTAATTTTTTATACCTTAACATCAGCGATTTGTTTAATTAAATGTGTTGGAATTATGATATCAGTCCAAAGATAATGTGTAATGGCGTATCTTTTTCTCTATTTCTGTATTTGTACATATACATTCAATTTTTGAAGTATTTGCACTATCACTGGTGAAATACATTGGGTATCCCAAAGTCTAAAATTCTCCACATATTTGGTACATTAAATGAAATCCTTTCCGCCCGTGCATGAGCATATTGCATGAAAAACTATGACATTTTAGTATTGTTTAATTGGTATCAGGACAATTCCCCCCGGACAATTCCTCCCCGGACTATTCCCCCCGGACAATTCCCCCCCCCCGGACAATTCCCCCCCCCCAGGACAATTCCCCCCCT